AGAGTCACTTGTCTCATCCAGCAGACTCAATTTTGTGTGCCAAGTTAATGATTATAGAGTTAAATAAATTTGAAAATAATGAAGACATGGTAGATTCTTGATCCCTTCCCCCCAGCCTGGAGAGTTCTAAGATATAATTTCACCAGTTAGCTTTTGGTATCTAGGATATAAAGCTCTTGACAATCCAGCCAAAGTATGCATGGACACAGAGTACATTATCCATATTGCACAGTGTGTATTTGGCACTTTGATGACCGATACTTTCACTGAGATAACAACAAGGGTGCTTTAACGCCATATGACTGGTGCATGATTATTCAGTTTACTTTCTGTGCTGCAATAGACTGCATGACCAAGAGCAATTTGGGCAGAAAGAGGTTTTTTTTTTCTTTTTTTTTTTTTTAGTTTACAGGTTAGAGTCCACCATCCAGGAAAGTTGAGAGAGAAATCAAGGCGGAAACCTATAGGAAGGAATTGAAGTAGAGACCGTGGAGGAATGCAGTTTACTAGTTTGGCTCAGCCTCCTTTCTTATATAACGCTTGACTATATTACAATGATGGTACCTGCCACAGTAGGCTGAGCTCTTCTGCATCAACCACAAATCAAGACAATACCCAACAGTCATAGCCAGAGACCAATCTGGTCAAGCAGATTTCTCAGCTGAGGATTCTGAATCCCAGTGACTAGTTTCTGTCAAGACGACATAACTAGCACATTGATACAAATGTATTCCCACCTGTTTGCCAAAGTGAGTAGGCAACAGTATCTTCTCCTCAACAATATCTGTTCTACTTCTGTTTGTAAACCACACACTCCCTGAACATAAACCAAACATGATCAATTTAAGTGCAGAATTATTGAATGCTTGCAGTACACAACATAAAGGAACCTGATTTAATTTTCCTCATAGCCAGTTTTATGCAGCTATCTTATCTCTGATTTACAGATAAGCAAATAGGTTGAAATAGGTTAAAGGGCACCTGTGATTATTGTGGACCTGTGATGCTAACTATTTAAGCTCACTTTGGACACAGGCATCCAAATTCTAACTGATTTCCCTGTCATTTTTAGAAAAGACACACACAAAGGAAAATACAGTATATGGTGAAGATTTCCGCATTATATTTTCATATGAGAAGTGAAAATGATGAATCTTAAGAAGCCTCTCTAAAACTGGCCAGATTTTAATTCTTTTTGAGAGGTTAGTAATCAAAGTCCAATAAGCCATGTTGTCAAGATTATTATACACAGTATGATGCAGTATAATGCACAAATATGACGCAGATGACAACAAACATGGTAATTAAGGAGTAAGACCAAAGGCAAAGAAAGTTCTTAGGAAGTCCACTGAGGAAACAGACAGAACAGAGAACTACGATGGGAGTCAAGAAAATTGCAAACCATGATCAAGATCCACTGGTTAGAACACTGGTAAATTTGTCTTCTATTTCATATCCTAGTATTAAGACTTAAATATGTCTTCTACTTCATCTGTTCCCATCCACAGATTGAATCTTCTGTTTTCAACAGAGAAAATACATTATGTAGTTAGAGTTAGACTTGTTATGAATACTTATACCTGCTATGAATAGCCAGATAGTAAAACTAGGGTCCTTAATAGCTGTGATGAAATGATGCACATCGCATTTAAACTATGTATTTGCAGACATATTTGTCTTTGCTTAGGCATTCCAGACCAAGATGACAACATATGTAACCAAATGGCACTTAAATTCCAAAGTTCCCCTATGAAGCTTTAAAAGTACACAGGATGAAAGAAACAGTTACAACATTCTTTTATTATGCCTCGATTATTATTTAAGCATTTCCTGTTCAGATTTTGTCCTAAACAACATTTTATATATTAAATGGTGTATTTTAAACAATCTATTTGGTAAGTCCTTGGAAAGAAAGTCTAACAAGGAATATAAGCTCAGTCCCATAGTCACTGTGCTTGAGGGCAACTGGTAGACCCTTCAAGCACATGGTCAAAATTCATTCATCCTCAGGAGGTGGACACATCAACTCCCTCAAGAGTGACCATGACAGACAGAGAGAACATGGCCAACAGACAGCCTGAGAGAAGCCATTGTGCACAGGCTTTGCACCATATCACTTATAATCTACAAAACATCTCGTTTACCAAGGGATTATGTTAATTCCCAACACATAACCAAAAGAAAAGAAAAATGAGGGATTGGGAAATTTAAAAGGTTGCCCAAAGGGCACAGCTTTTAGGTTCAAAGGAGAAGAATTTTGAAATATCTTTTAAACTAGTACAAAGAATCAGTTTTCTGTGACTGTGGCCTTCATCAGACTGTTGGATATACCTACCCACTCACAAATACTGAGTGGCCAACTTCATCTGAAACCAAGTGACTAGGTAGCATTGCAGCTCCACCATCCACACTGTTTCTTTCCTAGTCCATGAACAACTTGCGCAAATTGCAGAGCCGACTGATTTCTAAGCCAGAAGAGCTTATTCCCAAGCTCTGCCTGAGCACTCAAGAGTAATGTGGGCCAAGTGAGTCACCTTATGAAGGACTCCTTTAGATGGCTTGTCAGTGAGAATAGAGGGAGCTGCATTTCAGCACAGAGTACAGATTCTTTTTTTTTCCTTTCCTCCTCTTGGGAACATTTACTTGTTTTTGTAAGAAAGAAGGGGAATAGTAAAGCTACAACAACGTTGAAAAGAAAAAAATAAAATTTGTGGTCTAATTCAGGGTAGTGTTTGGTACTGAGGAAAATTTTAAAGCAAAATGGAGTAAAACTAAATCTCCCTATTGGCAAACACAACATACTTGCAATGCAGGTTTTCCAGTTAAAGTCTGAAGTTGAACTACAAAAAGTAATAATAACAACAACAAAAAAAAGCATTAAGACACATTTTCTTCTCTACTTCTATGTCATTTGTACTAAGTTGAGGCTGATCAACAACTTTGTATAGCTTGGGTCATTATTACATGACCAAGGATGCTGAATTAACAACAATAGCCATATAATGCATATCAAATACACACACACAGAGAGAGAGAGAGAGAGAGAGAGAGAGAGAGACAGAGAGAGACAGAGAGAGACAGAGAAAGATTGAGTGAGAGAATGATAAAATATACAGAAGCCTCTATAGAAAGAGATCTGGAAGAAAAAAAAGTCTCACACTCTCATAGGTTGGTAAATTCCAACAGAATCTGTGTGCCCCAGCAGTAAACATGTGCCTAGAAAAATAAATTAGGCAAGTGCTGGGCTGCAGGTTACCTCAGTTAAAGAGTAACAGAAAGGAGAAGAGCAGATGATGGGAGTGAAAGAACAGATTTGGAAGCTATTAGCAGGGTGTTTCTGGTTTCTATTATCACCTCTCTAATATAAATCTAACTCCACAGTTCCTTAATGACTCTCTAGAGTCTACCACTCTCAGCAGTAAATGTGCCCAGCACTAACAGGGCACCCAGGAGGCAGCTGCCTTCTATCTCCTTTGGGATATTTCAGACTTGTGGATCTTCTGGGATTTCAAATATTTTAAAGCCAGAGTTTTGTGAACCAGTCAACAGGAAGAGTGAAGGTGAAAGGAGAGGAGGGGATAGAAGAGGAGGGGAGGGGAGGGATGTCGGTACCGATGACTCTTGATGTCTACACTGGCAGAAGTTTACTTCACCTTCTCTGGACCACTGTGCCTTCCTTTCATCTCTGAATAAAAATGGCAGCTGTAATCACCTTATATGTGCCAGAATCTTTCCTAGTTTGGATTCAAAACTTGTCTTCTTCTGTGAGGTTTGTGTGAGTCACTTGTCTCAGACTGTTTGATCATTAACCAAATAATTACAGTTTCTCTTGGACTCGGTTTATTCTTTTGTTGTCATGTAATATCTGACCTGGCTCTAAAGTTACACGAGTTTATGATTCTAATAGAAACCTTCAGAGAGGAATACGAAAGAGTCTCAGTGGTGGGGGTCAGACCATTCTGTACAATAGGCAAGCTTGAGGACTGGCAGAAATGGGGGGGGGTGAGAAACAAGGTAATCAATCCCCTAGGCCCCAGCCTCTCAAGTCTCTTTCAACATTCTCTTTTATTTATTTATTATTTACTTTTTTTTTTTATTTTTGCCTTCTTTCCTTCAAAGCAAAGCTGGCCCAGGATAAACCTTGGAGCTCAACACATAAATTTTTCCTTTGGTCTTCCTTTCTAAGTTACCAATGGATGCTAAATGTCTGCCTTTTCCTGAAGCTGTTTTTCAGTGGTGTTTGGAGGGTTCTTGGTAAAGTCCAGGCCAAACCCCCATGTCATCTACAATCAGTGTGCAGCTTTTCTGTTATCTAAGGGGATTCTTAAGTTACAAGAAGGGGAACGAAGGGTGCTCCCTGCTTCTTTCATAGCTCTACCACCGAATACCCAGGGATGTAAAGACCACATTTGGAAAAGGGAATGCAGGAGAGTGTGAGAAGTGCAGTCTGTGTTCCACCACTTCCTCTGCTGTGCCATTCCCTCCTTCCTCACCGTCCGAGCCATCCTACTCACTAGCCAGAAGCAATCCTCCACCTGCTTTATTATCATAGTTTTGTGTTAATACATTCTGTTGATCTGCAGTGTCAGGTTGGACATTGAAATTTAAATTGGGTCCCTTCAATTTTCAACAACTAACACTTGGAATTCTAAGTCTGGGGCTTTCTTGCAACTCAGATACATTCTAGAGTGTCAGTCACTTGCATCAGCACCCTACACTGCAATGAGCTTTCATGGAGACATTCCCTTTTCTCCTTCCTGAACATTTGCAAAGGCATTTGCCTAGATTGCAGACAACCTGCATCGTTCCAGCAGTCCAGCTTATCAGTGAGCACAGCTTGGAAGAGCAACTGCGTGGGCCACCCTGTACCTCATTTGCTTGTTCCCCATAGCTGGGTCCTTGAAAACCACAGAAGAGGGGGAGGGAGAGGGAAAAGAATCAGAACACTAAATTAATGAACATTTTCTTCACCGATAAATAAGAAAATTAGGATCACTCACTGTATTTCAGACTCAGCACAGCTACATCCCGAGGGAAATCCAGGTGGTTAAGAACAAGAAAGAATGCACGATCTTGACACCAAAAAGGGAAAGAAAAAGAAAAAGAAAAGGAGGTTGGTGAAGAAAAAAGATCCAGCTGCAATTATCCTTCAATTTTAGTCAACACGGGCACAAATCCAAGAGTCCTCTGCTGATTTCTTCTCCAATCAATGCTTCATTCCTCCACGGTCAACTTTTCTTCAGTAAAATTTCTTTGCAGATCTATTATTAATTTCCTCTCTTTCTTGTGGGAAATTCAAACAGGAAAAAAAATATATGTATATATATCTCAGGTCTTTACTTTCCTAAAAATGCCCCAAACTTTTCATTTCAAAAATATCTCCTTGGCGTACTTTCTCCTTTAAAGAAAAAAAAATGAACACACTTTTTCTTTGTGTATCCTCAGTTCTCCATTTCCAAACATCCTTGGGGGAGGGGGACGGCTATTTTATGATTATTTATTTATGTCAGAACGCACTAAACCCCCGCAGGTCTGACATGAGCTTATTTCATTTTTCCCCTCAATGCTCCCCGTGTGGCCATATACACATTTATGTTACGATCCAGGTCTCACAAGAAAAAGCTTCATTCTTTCTTCTTTCTGGCACAATCAGTTTATCCTCTGCGTTCTGCTCCAAGAGAGAGCTGCGTCCCGCATTCTTCATTTTAGCAAGGCACCCAACAGCCACCTCATCCGGGGAGGTAAAAAAGAAAAAGAAAAAAGAAAAGAAAGAAAAAAAGGAACAAAAAAGTCTTTCTTTACATCCTTGATTCCAGTCCCCAGCTCTCCCTTCGGATAATTTGGGGATCAACTGCCCCCACCGGCTACCCTTCCGGCCGGCCCCTTCGTCGAAGATCTGATTAGATTTCTCATCACAACCCAGTGCGCAATTGGATTTTTGATTTCAGCCACCCAGCCAGCCACCTTCCCCCTCGCCCCTCCAAACTCCCTGTTAGATCCTGTCGCCTTCCCTCCACCGCCTCTGCGATTTCATAATCTCACGTTAAATGGAGTGCGGGGGGCGGGGGCGGAGGAGGGGGCGGAGGTAGAGGAGGAAAATTTCAAGGCTCCGTCAGCTGTCAAGAACAAACCCCGTTCCGCCCCCGGTCAGCTACTTTTTCTTAAGGTTCAGGGTGGCTTTCGCTGAGTCCCCTCCCCCACCCGCAGCACAGGGTCCAGGTCCTCCAGGTATTGCTGAACTCGGCGATCAGGGCAGGGATCACCAGAGAGACGCGTGATGCGGTCTCTCGCCAGCGGCCCCTGCCAGCACGGGTGTCCCCTTCTCCATCAGCTGGTCGCAGATCTCGAGTCTCCCGGGCGGTCGAAGTTCAGAGTGGGCTTTTATTTCGTACGGGGAAAGCAATGTGATGGGACTGTCGTGGTGTTAGGTAAATTTAAAAAAGAAAAACAAACAAACAAACATATATTTAAAAACAAAAAAGGGGGGGGGGGGCGAGAAAACGGGGAAAAGCGGGCGAAAAGAGGGAAAAAAAAAAAAATCCCTAATCACTGGCTCCTCTCATCCTTCTGGAATGAAACTGCAGCTTTGATCTCATTTCCAGCTGCGTTGAGGATGGTCTGGAGCCACAAGTTGGTTCCTCTGTGCGCAGTCTTTCCTGACGCCCGCTGGTCCCCGGCGAGGAGACGCGTCCTCGGGCGCGCAGCTGCTCCGCGCCGGTCTTAGTGCCATAGTCCCGGCTTGCGACTCCCTGTGCCGCGGAAACCCGGATCCCCTTCCATCCACTTAGGCGTGAACTCTGCCTTCTCCCTCTCTCTCCTCTCTCTCCAGATAAAAGAATGCGCTCCCTGAGTGGTTGGCAGCGTCTGCCAGTCTAGACTTTTCTCTCCACCAATGCCGAGTCCTGTTACTTAGGGTCCAGGCTCCTCAAAGCGTACCCAGACTGCAGTCCCTTCCCCTTCTCTGGTCCTCTTTCTTGCCCCTTTCCCGTTCCCTTTCTCCGCTAGAGATCAGTAAAATACAATTACCCAATTACCTCCCGTCATCTTAGCAGTGATTGGTCAATTGCATTAACACTTGAAGTCAGGGAAGAGGGGATTGGGGACTCTGAGGTGTGGCATTGCTGCCACCTGGAGGGAACAGTCGGAAGAACGCCGTTTTAAAGCGTGCCCCTCACTGTCAGAGGCTAGCAATCAGGAAAGAAATTCAGGCTGTGTGGGAGTTGTCATTTTTATTTTTATTTTTTAAAGCTTGTCTGTTTTCATCCCCAAAGCCAAGAATTTTGAAGTACAAAGGAGAATACATTGAAATCGAATCACCACTGGATTCAAAATTATTAACAAACACAAAGCTTTTGATTTCGGATTGGATGGTAAGAGCCTCTCTGGGAAGTCCCGCAGGTGGTCCCAAGGAAGGGATTAAGCCTCTGTTCCTAAGAACTGGTTCCTGGTTGGGGGTGGGGGGGCGGGGAAGGAACCTGGGTAGCTCAAGAGCTAGTAGAGAGGGAGAGCATGAGAGAGCAGGTTAATCCCTCCAGGAGGAAACAAGTGTAAAGGCGAGATAGGAGCCTTCAGCCTATGCAGTGTTGCAGTAAATTGGCCTGTTCAGTTTGTACGAGACATTCCGGACAGCTTGACAACTCAATTCCAGCATCCCTCGCTCTAGGATGTGGGCTTTTCCATCAACTCGTGTTAGAGGTACGCTTGGCATATTTCAGCTCCACTGCCTTTCCTAAGAAGCAGGGACCCAGACCATAGAACAGTGACATGAATAGGTATTTATTCCGCCACTCTTCTCTGCTTTATAATGATCACAAAACTCTTTCCATGAGCTGCAGTCACTTATATGCCTCTCAAGCATGTCATTGGAGATATGAGACTGATGCAATCAGGAATGAAGAATGTAACAATTAGAGATCATGCTTATTGATGATGAAGAATAAATAAAGATTTCTCTTTCCCCTTTTCCCAGTAAAGATCTTTAGGCTGAATTTTATTTCTTTTTCTATCACTAAGAAGATTCTCCTGGGTTCAAAACAGAGTTAAATAGAATGTGATAATGATAAAGAGAATTAAAACAGAGCCAAAAGACAAGGAGAGAACTTTTGTGCTACTACGGGAACATCGGAGTTTTATTGAAGTTCATTCCAAATGTTCTTTTCTATTCTTTGCTGCGTTAATATTAATATATTGTATACTATATGCAATACACTATGTTGTTACTTCTTTGGACTTCGAAAGTTTATTATTTTACACTTATTTGAAGATGAAGAAATTGTAATATGTGTTCCAGAGGTCACGACTTGTTAAGGAAAACACCCATCTTTCCCATTCAGTTGCAATTGCTTATGGCTTCCCAATATTTTCAAGAGCTTTTATATAGTTGCAATTCATATATAATGTGAATTTGTGGAGTAGTTAATGCTATTTAAGTGGATGTTTGGATATTACATGTTCTGCTTCACAAACACTAGTAGACCATATTTGTTTATTCAAAGAGGAGTATACTAGATGATTGCTAGACATCTTTAACATCCTTCAGAGCAAAGAAATCTCTCAAAAGAAAAGGAAGAGTGCTAAGTAGGGAAGCAGGAACTAGAAAGATTTCCCAGTTCTGCTTAGCTTCTCATTACAAACTGAAAAACCACAGTTTCTGATTTGCTCTATAAGACACTGAATTGGTTAGTTGGTATTCATATTTTTGCATTCAACGTCAATTACTAATTGAATATATAATATGATATACATATATCATAATATGTATAGTAGTTTACATCACTTTAATATTCAAACAAGTTCCTGAAACATTTTGAAGACAAAGTGAAATGACAAGTGATATGCTTGGTAAGTGACCGCCCAATATAAACGAATCTAGCTGATTTCAGTTTTGCTAGTTTCACATGAATGACTAGGTTTTAGTAATATGGAGAGCAGCTTGTCAAGACAGTCAAGATCACGCAGGCTGTGATTATTATGGATCCCAGAGGTGAGTTTGTAGCACTGTATGGAAATGGCACTGCTATTTCCTGCCGTATTAGCTACTGTGTGGCCTTAGTTAAAGTAAACTCAAATAAGGAATCAACAAGGGGGAGCATCATAAAAGTGCACATGCAAATTCAGTTGCTAAGACACAAAAGTGTAGATAGTTATGCTGCAGAGCTGTCAGTAGATGAATGTGTTCAGGTAAGAGTCTTCATAAGTCCTCTTTTAGAAGGATTAATTGCCTAGTAAGTAACTCTTCTCATCTTCATGCTTCCCACTCATCAAACTTTTTTTTTACCAAAATCCTATCTAGAAATAAAGGTCAGTGGACAGAGATGACTGGGGAAGATGGAGAAAGAAGTTACCTACCACAGTAGTTTTCTTCTGTGCATACACAGACTTCCACATTTTATTTTCTTTTGATGTTTAGACATATGAATAAAATAAAACTGTCTTATTATTTCTCTGACTGGTGATGCTAACTGGTATAATCTTTAACAAACAGCAGGGGACAGCACCTTGCAATCAGAAATACAAAACAACAAATCGCATGAATTTAGTAATTTTGTTTAAAAATAAAACGAATATGACTGTGTATGTTCTGTTGCTAATTGGATTTAAGGCATTGTAGGCCAGTCTGTGAGTGCATAGTGTACACACACACATATACACACACACACACAGAGTCTTTATTTTATGGTAGAAATCCCCAAAGTAAATATTCTTTATTTTAGTTTCAATTCTATTATATACAGATAATAATGGTATCAAATTTGCTTCTGTAATTCACACACACAGTAATGTAAATTAAACCCATTAAACTAACTTAAAAATTACTTTGATATTAAATTCTATTTTTTGTGGGCATATGTGGGCAATACAACATAGACACTGCTTTCCAAAGAATTAGAAGACATCCCAACAGCTGGATATGCTTACCTTCTTGCTAAGACAGATGAGGATCCTAAGTCTAAGCATGTTTGCATCTGTTTGATAGTTGTTTATTTCCAATATGTTCCTTTTATGATGACTACTCCAAAACTCAGTACTTATCCCATATAGATTCGCTGTTTGTTATATCATACATTTTAATGTTTGTTTTAACAACTAGTGTTTAATGACAGCTTAAAACACTAAGCTAGGTAGGTTACCCATTTCTACTCGTGTTCTACTCTCAATAATCTCAATAACTTTATGAAATTGATACCACTGTAATACTAACTTTAGGGATTAAGATCCAGAGATGAGGTTAAATAAATGCTTGGCTAGGCAGAATTACTTCCCTTCAGATACCGAGGCTACAAACAAATCCTTGTTGTGTATAGAAATAACTTGTTCCTGTTCCTCTAATGCTAGCCCATTAACATTTTCCTATATTTATAATATTTTCCCTTGGCTGTGTGCATTGATATCTAAGACTATGGTATTAGAGAGTGTAAGTATCTATATATGTTCACCTTTTCTTCAAGACAAATGACCCCAAACACACGGTGCAGCTGAGGATGACTTTAAACTTCTGATCCTTCTACCTCTCCCAACCCCAGCAGTGAGTCTGTAGGCATACAACACTACAAATAGTTACTTTTGTAATAATAGGTACAATTGCCCTACATTCTCACCCTCATCATTTTCATTTTATCTAATATTTTCATCAATATTGTTAGTAAAGTGTTAGAAATGAAAATGCTTGAAATATTAAAGCAGAGAGAAAAGGCAACCATCAAGCATGGTTTTATCAGAAAATATATAGTTTCAGATTAAGTGATGTGGAATACATGCTCTACAACCTGTTTACTGGAAACAGTCATAATCTCTTTTTTTCCCTCATGACTCAGAGGTCTGTGAGGGATAGGTTAAGCAGTTATTCTGATATTTTTAAAATCTCATGTATGAATCAAATCTGTTAACTTTCCATGGCTCAAAACAAATTATTTAATAGAAGAATGAACTTCCCTTCCCACTTAAGACACTAGATACTACATAAATGGAAAGAGAGAAGAATCAGCGCAATTGTTGCAATCAGTCACATCTTCTACACTTCACAAACACCAGCCTTCTTTCATGATCTCTGGACTCTCCAGGCAAGATAAATACCCATGTTAGAATCATTTGATGCATTGCAAAAGATGTATACTAATCACCTACTGTGTGACAAATGTTGTGGAAGATATCACTATTTCCTGTGTACCACACTTCCCTGAGGACATCTTTTGACATTAAGAGGACATCATTAATTCCTGTGTACCACACTTTTCTTTGAAAACATCAAAATGTTTCCTTTATTTCCTTATCTTTTTTTATTTTACATTACTGACTGACTAGAGTTCTTAGATAGACTTTTGATATGTTTGTTTCTTTTTTTCTGTTATATCCCTGTCTGTACCTAGTTGGGAAAGGCAAAAATGAAAGAGAAAGTCTGAAGAAGTGAAAGATAAAGGAAAACAAAATCTGTTCCATATTCAACAAGAAACCACACACTGGGTATAGTCAGTTTGAAGAGAA